AATGTGACTTTTGGCAAAGTGTTATGGATTGAATTGTGTCCCCCCAAAATATGTGTGGTAAATACTAACCTCTATGCCTGTGGTTATAATCCCATTTGGGAATGGGTTGTCTTTGTTATGTTAATGAGACAAAATTAGTGTAGGGTGTATCTCGAGTCAATCTCTTTTCAGATAAAAAAGAGATTAAATGCAAGAGAACAAGCTGAGATGGGGGAAGAGAGATGCCAAGCCACATGAAGATTGTCTGGGAACAGAGAAGTTCAGAAGAGACAAGGACCTTCCTCCAGAGCCCACCGAGAGGGAAAGCCTTTCCCTAGAGCCAGCACCCTGAATTCAGCACCTTCTAGCCTCCTAAATTGTGAGAAAATAAATTTCTGTTTGTTAAAGCCATCCATTTGTGGTATTTCTGTTATAGCAGCACTAGATAACTGAGACAAGCGGGGTAGAGTAAGAGGCAAGATGATATTTACTAACCCCAGTTCCTTATCTGATGCTAGTGAAGGTAATTAATGATAATATTCTGCTCTGTTTAGTCCCCTTTCTCATTCCACCATGAATTTTACAGAACTAGAGATTCTCGTCAGTTCTATGGTAATATTCTTGTGTGACTCTTACTAAATGGTTTGTCATGTTCTGCCCTGGAGGTAACTCCACGTCATCAGGAGGGGATGATAGACAGAAACATATACAAACACACACTTGCTTTCAAAAATAAATATTGGGTCTCTAGTTAAAAGGTGGCGTAGTGGTTAAGTGCTACAGCTGCTAGCCAAAAGGTTGGCAGTTTGAATCCACCAGGCACTCCTTGGAAACTCTATGGGGCAGTTCTACTCTGTCCTATAGGGTCGTTATGAGCTGGAATCAACTTGACGGCAGAGAGTTTGGTTTGGGTTTAGTTAAAAGGTGCTGTGTAAAGTGAGCGAGCATCCTCTTCCTTGCAAATCAGCACACAACTCCCACTAACCTTGTAACCACAGCCTCTGTTGGTGTTAAGACTTTGATCCCTTAAGGCTTGATACTTGGCTTAAAGAGATCCTTTGTCTTGGCCTTGATTTAGGAATTAAGGTCCTGGAATTTTTTGGTTTCACCATGTGGATGATCTAGTAGACAACCCAACTGAACTTGGGGTCTTCAGGCTACTGGATGTAACTGGTCTGGTTGCTTTGTTCCCCTTTTCCTCTGTGGGGGCCAGCGACTCAAATACTCCGTGTCTTGCATAGGACTGAGACAGTGATAGAATCTTGAACTGTAGGGAAGGCCAGGAATATTTGCAGAATAATTGGGCTTTTAGATTTGGTTCCAGGTCCCAGTACTATCTTGATCTTGATTGGAGAGTAAGATGCTTTGTGTCTCTTTTCAGACTTTCCATCCATATAACAGGGGCAATGAACTTTGTCTCATCACTCTACTCACTTTCCCATGTCTTTATCAGTCTCCCAGAAACTCCTAGGAGCAAAAAACAAATTAAATCTACATTACAGTTGGAGACATGATATGGTAATGAAAGTCTTGCTTATTTCCTCCTTGAGAAAGTTGGTATAACTTTTAGGGAGCAGTGTGTCCATATAAAGGCTCTGGTGTTTCTGTGGTTGTACTTTTAAACTTCTTATCCATGAGGGTCACCACTCATCTGCCAGTTTGTTGTGATATTGGAAGCTATGCCACTGGTATTTCAAATACCAACAGGGTCACCCATGGTGGACAGGTTTCAGTGGAGCTTCCAGCCTAAGACAGACTGGGAAGAAAGGCCTGGCAATCTACATCCAAAAATTTGTCAAAAAAAAAAAAAAAACAAAAACAAAAACAAAAAAAAACCAAATGGAACACAACAGAGTATTGTCCAATATAGTGCTTAGCAGCCAAGCTCTAGACATAATATGCCTAAAAAGCTAGCTTTTTTCGGGAGGAGGGTTGTTTTTGTTTTTATTCTGGGAGGTTCAACTATGTCCCAAGTAAAGAAAAGAACCAATACTTATTAAGTACCCACTAGGTGCTAGGCAGAGTCCTGGTGGCACAGTGATTAAGAGCTCTGTTGTTAACCAAAAGGTTGGCAGTTTGAATCCACCAGCTGCTCCTTGGAAACTCTGTGGGGCAGTTCTACTTTGTGCTCTAGGATTGCTATGAGTTGAAATCGACTCGACAGCAACAGGATTTTTTTTTTTTTTAGGTGCTAGGCATGTTGTGGAAACCCTGGTGGTGTAGTGGTTAAAGAGATACAGCTGCTAACCAAAAGGTCGGCAGTTCAAATCCACCAGGTGCTCCTTGGAAACCCTATGGGGCAGTTCTGCTCTGTCCTATAGGGTCTCTATGAGTCGGAATTGAGTCAATGGCAACGGGTTTGGTTTTTTTTTTTCAGGCATGTTGTTAGGTACTTCATATACATAAAAGCTCCACAAATAAGTGGCTTATGAATAGGAGGTGACATCTTTTCTAATCCCTCCCACCACCACTACCCCAAAATGACTTATTTCAGGGATACCTTAATGGAACAGTCCTCTGATCTAAAATGGGCAGAATAAGAGTGGGTAAGGGAATGGCAATATAACAGGGACTCTTCAGCTAGAAATTAGAGGGCCTATAATTACAGGCAGCTGGCTAGGATTAGACCTGCAAGCCACATCACTTTTGGAGTTGCATTTGCAGCTCACCACCTTCTGATCACACAACTCCTACCACCACCCCCGCCCTACTGTTGCAGTTTAATCTCAGGCAGAGTTGTAAAGAAGGCCAAGTTTGCTTTCCTGGAGTCCCACTGGCACTGCTAGCACCCCAACCCCACCCCACCACACACCCTGTTGTGAGAGGAGTCCCGAGATTTCTTCTGATTCACCTCCCAAGCAAAACTTTGCTAGGCCGTTCCCATTGGGCCCTGCACTCAGATCTGGAGCTGATAAACTAATTGGGGCTAATGTGATAATGAGCAATAATGATATTTACTGTTTTTATCAGCCCCAAGGGAGACATTTACCTTTTAACAGGACCTTTGGGATATACACAAGGTTGAATACTAGGGAATGAATGGTGGGAATGTTTGATGAAGGCTAGGGAGACAGAGCCCTGGTGGCCCAATAGTTAGCTTGGCTGCTAACTAAAAGGTTGGTGGTTCGAACACAACCAGTGGCTCTGTAGGAGAAAGACCTGGCAATCTGTTTCTGTAAAGATTGTAGCCAAGAAAACTCAATGAGGCGGTTCTACTCTATCATATGGGGTTGATATGAGACAGAAATAGACTCAGCACCACCTGACAACAACAGGGAGGTAGAGGGGCTTTTTAGTCTCCCTACACTGCACTTCTCAAACCTCCAAGAAGTGCCCTACCTGAGATCCAAGACTCTCCCACATCCACCCGTCCTCCCACCAAGCCTTCTACACATTCAAAAACCTTTTGATGTTTCTCCTCTGCATTTATGTTGCATAAACTAAGAAAAACAAACAAACAAACAAACAAACAAAAAAAACCCAAGAAAGGATTAATACTACTGCTCACTCACCATTCCACTTTCATACAGCAGCCGCTTACTTTTTGTTCTATTCACAGTCTTTGCCCACATATAGACATTTTTACACTGGGAACTTCTTGGTTTTGATCACAAAACCTTTGTCTCTTTGCCAAAACTCAATTTCTTTTCCTTCTTCCACAGAGGGGAGGCCTGTACATTATAGAAATCTGTCTGGACACTTAGCTCATGCCAGCCTAGTGTCCAGGAAAACCTGAGAGAGAAAGTTAATGGTTAGGGGATTGTATTTTTCCTTGCCAGAAGCAGTCACTAACCTGCATGAGTGGAGGTGCATTTGTGACTCAGTGAAGCAGGTATAGGTAACTCCCTATATGCCTTTGGCCTAGGGGGATGGGGATGACATGGATACTTAAAATTCACAGATCTTTCCTAGGCTTCCACCTCCTTCTTGCCCAAGCCATGTTGTTTTATTTCCAGTTTCAGAGTCTTGATCTTTCCATCTTTACCTCCTATACAGAATGTCAGTAAACACTAAACAATATCATGTAAATGTCAAGAGGAAGTGAAGAACCTGGATAATCCGCCAACCAGATAATCAGCCCTTGCATTGTTGAGAGATGAATATTAGACCTGAACAACTCACAGTGGACCCTCCCTCCCAAGACCCTCCTTTTCAAGTGTCCTCCATGTCTTTCACCTGCGGCTGGGGGAGATTGACTTCTCAAAGTCCATTCAAATTGCCAAGGGTCAATGTCAAAGAGGCAGTCCTGGTGCCTGGAGGGAGAAGCTATGATGAGGCTACCTTGCCGGGAGCCCCTTCAGGACCTGGTACCTGCACAGCCAGGCTGCTCTCTGGTAGACAAAACTCTTGATGCCAAACAGAGTGGACTAAAGACAGATTAGTAAATGAGACAGATGTTCAAGAGGGTACCCACTCTCCTATACCGTCATCTCCTCCCAATTTGAACTTTTGCTTACTTTGCTTCTACATTCTGCTTTCCTGCTGGTGTCTTTGGGGAGCTCTGTGCTTTTCACCTGAGATAGCCTTTAAGCTGAAAAAAACCTATACCCACTGCTGTCAAGTCGATTCTGACTCATAGCAACCCTATAGGACAGAGTAGAACTGCCCTATAGGGTTTCCAAGGCTGTAAATCTTTACAGAAGCAGACTGCCACATTTTTCAGCTGGTGGGTTCAAACCGCCGACCTTTGGGTTAGCAACCGAGTGCTTAACCACTGCACCACCGGGGCTCCTTGCTGAAAAGAACAGTCACCACTAAATCAATTCCTCATCCATTAACAGGTTGTCTCTCTGTTCTTGAGACACAGGCATAACCTGGTTAGACCTGTTTTGTTTGAACACTAACGTGTGAGATGGCCAAATGCAAATGAGCCAATGCTTGCAATCCTTTATTTTATTTTTTTAAAGGGCCCAGCAGCCAATCAGAGAAGGGGGAAGTGACTTAGGGAATTCCCGGTCGGTGGCTTATTGCTTAACATCCTACAAAATGATTTAAAATTATTGTCATATGCATTTATCTTCACTCTGGTGAGGGCTTAGGTGTGATAACACCCGTGGTTTCCCATATCCGTAGGAGCTGGCGTGTTTGCTGCCTGCTGTCTCCCTTCCATTAGCCTCAGCTATTGGATTTCCCACCCAGAATCCTTAGGTAAATGAGGTAAGTTCTTATTTTTAAACCTTCTTTTGAACCTTGAATTAAGACACCTGAATGGAAAGAGAAGCTTACCGAATCAGACAGATGAAACTAAAACAGACTTCCCGTGGCAGCTGGAGTCTGCTATGGCAGGAAGTGAAGCTCGCCTTACCTGTGGTTACCTCACAGCTTCTTATTAGAGTTTTATTTTGGAGGGCACCTGGGCTATTTTGGATGTTATCTATCAATCCCCTGCATCAAGTCTGAACTCTCAATTACTGTGAATTTAAAAAGCCACCTGCTTTCCCTCTAGCTGTGTGGCACAGCCATTTCCCCAGATTGAATTCTTCCGAAACAGACAGGTAGAGAAAGGTGACTCTGATACAACTCAGTGAGGAACTAGTTGGCTAAATAACTGTGGGTCTCAGAGCACATGGTCACACTTTCTAGAGATGTCTTCTGTTGGTAATTTTTCTGACTCATGAGTTGTAGGGAAAGGCAAGTTCATCTTCAGTATGATTTGGTGTTGGCAAATGACTGGAAATGGGCAGGGGCGTACTTATCCACACTGGAAACAGTGACTAGGCAGCCAAGGTAGGTAGGTGCACTGGGGAAAGCTGCACACCTAAAAGACTGTCTAGAAAAGAAATCAGTTTTGGCAAAGGGCTTCACCACATCCCAAGAGGACAAATTAACCCTTTGTTTGTCCCATACTGGAATACTATGACCAGACAAGCAGACGTGGCTCAGCAGCAACAAATGCCTTCTAAGACAGGGACTCTTTTGATTTGGTTTGGACACCACGGAGAAGTGTTGGCCCCAGTATGGATAGAACTGGGAACAGTGGGGAAATAATCTTGTTGGTAAATAACAGCATAACGGTGGAAAAGTGATTTTTTCATCATCCATCTTAGTTAGCTAAGACTTAGCATACACCCAGGATTGTGGGACCATGTGTCTTTTTAAGATGAAATGGAAGATTCTGTGAGTTCAAGTTCATAGATGTCCTTGCTGGTTATCTGCACTGACTTCAGCAACAGGGACAGAGTGAGTGTTTGATTCTTTGAGATGGAAAGTCTAATTCAGGAATTGGTTCTGTAGGCATGGTTGTGAGGATGAGTGTTCAGACAGAACTTTTCAATGTGTGCAGGGGCAAGTCCGGGATCATGAGTGACCGTGTGCTAATTCCACTGAGGTCAAGGAAAGAGTCAGTTTCTGACAGGAGAGATGAAGGCATGTTAGTAGGAAGAACTTCATGGATAAGAGATGCTATTAGAAAAGGCTCTTCGGAGATTTTTAAGACTGGCTTTAATAGCTGCACTTTGAGTTTGTAGAAGGCTCAATTTGTCCTCTTTTTGAGACCTAGAATTCTGGCACTATGAGAGAGCTCATCAATCCCATCTTCTTATAACCTCGAGTCATGTAGCACCATTGTCATTTCCACACCATAATCACTAATGGCTCATGAGGATAGATTTTTAAAACAATGAAATGAGGGTCATTTGGAAGTCCATAATCACATCTGAAAAATAGTAAATATAAGGGAGAAGATCCTTCTCCATGTTTCCAAGATATTTTATGGAGGCATTTTAAAAAAAAGTAACCTCAAGGGAGAAGCTGGGCTGTAAGTTCTCTTCTGTTGCTGTTCAAAATGGTGTCATTACTCGGGACCTCTTAAGGGTGGTCTTGGGTAGGATAATGCATTTGATCTAGGCCTCATATTTACAAAAGGTCTCAAATTCAGTTGTATATGTTATTTTCTGTTAAAAGTATCTATTTGTTAAATTAAAAAAATACTCTTGATATTTTCATTTTTAAAATATATTCTGAGCTTCCAGAAATGGAAATACCTTAAGTCTTTCTGGACCTATGAGAAACCCTACATTTGCATTCATGAGTCCATGTTTATAGGGACCGTAAAGTGCTCCCATTACCTTGCCAACTTTACCCATATTCCCTCAGCAATATCTTTTTTGATTCCTCAAGAGGCTGAGACAGAATGGAAACTTAGAGGTTAAAATGCTTATTCAACTGCAATAAATTAGCTAATTGGAAACTGGAAGGAACTCATATCAGGTCTCTGGTCAGAATGTTGGTGCTTTTGTCCAAAGTTCACTTCTAGGAAAGTCAAATTTCGCTTTCTGAAATCTTGCAACATTTTATTCTCTCCTCATTACCCACTTCCCAAATTAGGGAATTTTAGCACTGAGTTGTGTTCATTAGACAATCTTGCTTTTCTGAAAGCCCAGTTGTTAGAACCTTGTTAATGTTACAGCATCAAACACATAGAGGCTTATACAAATCATTGAAAAGTTATTCTCTTTTCTTCTTCCTCCAGAAAGAGTCATTCCTAAGTCCTTCTAAATAAATGTGATTTTCAAAGAGCTCTGGGAGATGGGGTGGGATGGATACCAAGAATGCGTGGTGGAACTGCTCATACACTGGAGAAGCAATGCCACGGTTCTGAGGAACCAAACATAACGTCCGAATCTGATTTTTGGTAACACCATTTTGCTGCCATTTCAGCTCAGTTCTCTTGTTAAGATCACTCCCTGGTAGTCTTGAGGTGACAGTCATTTCTGTTGTGGGTGGGGCCTGATCGGGAGTCATTGACTACACGGCAGACAGGCTTGGTGTTTAGAGGCCCACATTCGACCCCTGGCTTTGTTACCAGGTAACTGAATGAAACGCAGTGGCTTGCAGCTTGGGAAAGCCGAAACTCGGGTGGAACCATCATCTAAAGCAGAAGCAGGAAGGTAGCCATATCTTACCCCAGTTCTCTTACATCTGTTGCTGCATAACTGAGGAGGAGAAGATAGGTAATTAATTTTATTTAAAGTTTTCTTATCTATTTTTTAATACAATTTATTAAAATATATGATTTAATAATACAATTATTTAATATGCTATATTCCAAGGAACAGGCCATTTTACTTTTCTAATTAAAAATATGTGACCATTGTTAGGTTTGTTTAAATCGGACAGGGTTTTAAAGGGCCAGACTATTAAACTGTGCAGGAAACAAAAAGTGCGGTGGTGAGAATGGCTCCCATAACAATGAATAGTAGAATAAGACTTATTTTCAAGCTAAATGGTGTTAATGTAGGGTATGCTGGAGTAGAACTTTCCATGGATCCCCTCAGAGTGATTTGATAAACACTCAGTTGCACTTCAGAGGCAGGAAAAAAAAAAAAAGATATTTAAGAATCTTCCCTGGGGAATTTCAGACTCAAGCTTTTGAGTGGCCAGAGCACAGTGCTGGGAACACCGTGGGTAGCAATGCACAGGGTCTGCAGCTACAGCTAGAAGTCAGGGGACCTGGTTTTCTAGCCCTGGCAAAGCTGTGTGGTCTAGAGCAACATACTGCACCTCTCTGGGCTTTAGCTCCCTCATCTGTACAAAGAGGGGTTTGAACTCTGATGATCTAGAAGGTCCCGTTCAACCCTCATGTTCTGTGGCTCTGATGGCCTGGGGGAGCCAGCTGTGTGCAGAGGTCAGCAGGTTTAGCCTGGTCCGTGAAAGCTGAGGTTGAGGAGGGCGATGCACTCCTAAGGATTACACAGGAAAGCAGATTCTCATGGGCCGCTTATCAGTAGGACCCTTTAAATGGCTTTCCTTGGGGTCTTTATAGAGTTTTGGCTACCTAGTCAGGGGCAGATTACCCAGTAAGCAAGGTGAAGCATTGGCTTATTTGTGCTTACTTACTAATCCGTAGTGAACATTTCTTATATTCACTATAGATTAGTAAGTAAGCACAAGTAAGCCTGTACTTACCTTGCTTATTGGGTAATCTGCCCCTGTAACTAGTTGAGGTACTAAGACCCAGCACCTGGAGCCTTTATTGTTGTTAGTTGTGAGTCCATTCTGACTCAAGGCAACCCCACGTGTGCAGGGTAGAACTGCTCCATAGGGTTTTCAAAGCTGTGACCTTTCGGAAGCAGATCGCCAGGTGGAGGCCTTTATTAGGGATGTTGAAATCGACTTCTATGACCACATTTTGACTTTATCAATTTACGTCATGGTTACAAAGCTAGTGGTAGTGTAGAAGTGGATGAATCAGACTGTCTCATGACCACAGGGAGCAGTTGGTGTATGTGAGCGGACACCCCACTGGTGTCTTCTACAAAACACCAAAGCAGCCTGCTGAAAAGTGTGAACTTTCAGGCACTCAGAGTCTATTCACTTTGATTGGTGCTGATGAGCTCATGTGACTGATTTCTCATGATGGATTCACTGTTCCTTGAGGAAGCTCCTGTGGGTCATCCTAAGGGGACCATGGCTGGTCCAGTAACTGGATAACCCAACCTGGAACCAGGTGTCTCCAGACAGCCTCAGCTCTGTATCTGGAGCATCTGGAACGTACAACAAGGTCAAGCAGGGTGGCCCATTTAAAGAGGCTCCTAGGATTTTAATTGGCCTTGTTTTAAAAGAGACACCCTGTAAAACAGCTCCTTTGAAAACTGATTTCACTAGCACCTAACCTCATTCCCTCTTGGGTGTGTTTTATGGGGCTGGGCCCCTTGTTTTTGCTCATTTGATTCACATTATCTCTCCTCCTCCAATCTTCCCCCACGCCCTGGCCCTCACCCCTAGGGCTCAGAGCCTCCCTTTTTCTCTTTCTCAAAAGCATCTTCTTCTTTATTAAGGTACCTGTCTATTATTTAAAATATGGCCAGCATAGGTACATTCAAAACATGTTTTCTGATGAAAAAAGCAAGAAATAAAAAAGGTAAAATACCCATTATAGTGTTTTGAATATTAGAATACTAGACCATACCCTAGTGCCACTATTTTAACATAACAACTTAGTTTTACTTTTGTATAACCTTGTCTATATGTCCATTCAATTTGATGTTGTTGTAATTGTCATGAACTTAAAATTTCATATTCTACCACCTCCCCCTCACTTTATACCATAGACACAAAATAAACAATCTTGAAGGCTAGGACTTTATTGGTCCAATTTTGAATGCTAGAAATTTTAGTTAGCCTGACAGCCCTTTCTTAGCCTGGTGCAAACTTCTTCCAAAAGTCAGTTGACTCTTTCTTAGGACCTTCTACTTTTTGTGCATGACAATGGAATTTGGAGAATATGGCTGCCTGTAGAGATTATTCTGGGATCCCTCTTAGGAATGTTTTTAAAATCCTCAATAGGGCTGATGATATATTGTAGTCCAGGAGGTGAGTGGGTCTGAAAGGTGAGGGCTGTCTTCATGGTGACTACTGACAAGTGACTTTGGGTGCATTATGTAAGCTCTAGACTCTAGGTTTCCTCATCTGGAAAATAGGGTTAATAACAACTACTTCACAGGGCTGTTGTAAGGATTAAATTAGACAAAGAATATGAAAGTTCCCGGACAAATGCTTGTGAGGGAGTGAATAATTACTAATTTGTGGAATAGGAGTTGAAGACAAAGCCTCAGCTTGGGTGTTTTTAGTGAGTCTTCATTGGATTGAAGTGAATGATTCTGAACTATTGTTTTCCTGTTTTTCCATACTGTGACCTTGAGAAAGAAATATAACAGGGTTTTCTCTGGAGAAGGTGGGCATCAGGGAGACAGGATGAACTATATTAATGCCAAAACCAAACCTGCTGCTGTTGAGTCAATTCTGACTCATCGCGACCCTATAGGACAGAGTGGAACTGCCCCATAGGGTTTCCAAGGAGCGCCTGGTGGATTCAAACAGCCAACCTTTTGGTGAGCTGCCGTAGCACTTAACCAGCACATTAGCGGAGACCTCCAAATTGAGCCTGTCTAGAGCTAGTTGCAATCCACAATCCGTGGGGGTCCCCAGGAAAACCTGGGGCAGGCCCACAGCATGCTCTTATCCCTGTGTCTTGATATCTGTCATGTAGGGCCCTCCAGAAGACATTCACCCCCTTTTAGGCAGTTCACATAACTAACTTCAGCTCATATAGCATCGCCAACACTTAAAATTCTTGATAGCGTCTCCAGATGCCTACTGACCACTGCTGCTGAAGGCATTCCCTTGGATACCCTTTGTTGTTGTTATTAGTTGCCATCAAGTCTATTCTGACTCTGGATGACCCCATGTGTATAGAGTAGAACTGCTCCACGTGGTTTTCAAGGCTGTGACATTTTGGAAGCAGATTGCCAGGCCTGTCTTCCAAGGGGCCTCTGGGTAGGTGTGAACCACCAACCTTTTTGCTAGTAGTCAAGCGCTAGGGGCTTTAAAAAGAATTCCTACTTATTTCGCCTAACCCTGTGGGGTCTGCCTCCTGGTAAGTTGTACAAATGAGGTTTCTGGCCACATGGAAGTGGGTTCTAAATGCTATTTGAGTTGAACAAGAGTCCTTGCTGTTAATAAAACAACAAGGGCTCCTAGCCTAGAGTTCAAGGGTCTCTTTGTGTCCATGGATAGAATTCAGGGATCTGTGAACTTGGATGTAAAAAAAATTACATCTTTATTTTCACTAACCTCTAACTAAAATATAACATTTCCTTCTAATATGAATGTGAGCAAAAGACCACAACAGTTTTAGCTGTTAACTGTGACTTTATCACCAAGAGAAATCACAGACATTTTCATATTACATTATACTCTGCAGATTTCTCAAAATACAGTTGACATTCATCACTACTTTGATGTCGTGGAGATCATTAAACCTGTCTTAGATATTTTTATTTAATGTGTTAATAAAGAAGCACGTATATTATTAGGATGTTGTTGTTGTTAGGTGCTGTCGAGTCACTCCTGACTCATAGCAACCCTGTGTACGACAGAAGGAAACACTGCCCGGTCCTGCACCGTCCTCATGATCGTTGCTATGTTTGAGCCCATTGTTGTAGCCACTGTGTTGGTCCATCTCGTTGAGGGTGTCATACATTTATTTTAAAAAGTATTTTGTTAATTGTATTCAATATGAATATCCTTTCTGATCTTACGTATTTTACTTTGTACATTTAAAAACATTTTGAGAACGGGTCCATAGGCCTCACCTGACTGAAAAAGGGGTCCATAGTACAAATAAAAGGTTAAGAATTTCTGATTTGCAGTACTGTCTTGCACACGGCAAATGAAATGACTTCTGAATGGCATCAGCTGATAGATGATCTTTGCCAAAGCAGAGGAATGTGTTCCTCCTACTAACTATCCCTGCCTACAGGTATCCTTGGAGGTGCTGAGGGATCTTGGCATAGCAATAATAATATTAATAATAATAACTATTATTATTATTGTGGTAATGCTGGCTGACATTTATTGAGCACCTTTTGTAGACCAGGTGCTGTTATAGGAGTGTTCCGTGTGATATTTTGTTTTGTCTGCCTAACACCTCATGAGGTAGATAGTGGGGCAGTCAAAGGCAGGAAGGACTCACCCCTTCCCTGATTGTGATAGAGCATCAGTACAAGAGATGGCAAAAGTTGAGACTGACTCTCCAGGCCGGCTTCATGGGCATATGACCTGTGCAAGTGCCCAGGGTGCCACACTTAGAAAAGCCCCATGCTTGGTAAATGCACTGTTGTTGCTGCCTTGAAATTCTTAATACATTTTGAACAAACCAAAAAAATCCAAACCAGTTGCTGTTGAATCCATTCCAACTCTTGGTGACCCCAGGTGTGTCAGAGTAGACCTGTGCTCCCATAAAGTTTTCAATGGCTTTGATATTTCAGAATTAGATTGCCAGACCTTTCTTCCGAGGCACCTCTGGGTGGATTTGAGCCACCAACCTTTCAGTTAGTAGCCCACCACTTAAAGAGGCCCTGTATTTCCCTTTGTACCAAGCCCTGCGAATTATGTAGTTGGTCCTGCCTCTGGATGAATTTTTTCAAATGCATGACCACTCCCAAGGCTGGGAAGCTGGGCAGCCAGTGTGGAGAGCTCTCCTGCTCGTTCTTATCTTGCTCATCTAGCTGAGCTCTGGTGTAAAGTTAAGACTTGTCAAAGAGGAAAATGTAGTTTTCAAGTTGGTGATAATTATCATCTTGTTTGAGCACCAAATATTTCCTCCAAAGTAACCGGAGAAGTAACAAGAGTAATCAACCGAAGGGGATATGATCCCTTTGGAAAACCTTTCTGGTGGGGAGTTGCTTGTCTTGCTGATGGGGTTTTTCATTTTTCTTTTTCCAGAAGGTTTGCTACATAGACCAATATGAGCCAAGAGAAGCAGCGCAAGGGCTGTTTTGGAAGGGAAAATAAGACCAGGTGCGTCAGTGTCTCTTGTTCTTGTAGACAGGCACTAAAAAGGAATTCATCTTTCTTGCCTACTGTCATTTAATGATTATCTGCACACAGAGAAGTCCCTGCTCCTTCTAAAGATGAGGTCCTCTAATTTGTGAGAAAATTCAGATGTTATTTGCTTCTTAAGCTGCCAGTGGAATAAGCCTTGTGAGATTCTGTATGTGTTTTAGGGTTAAGTTTTTAAAAACTGTTTCAAGGTTTGAAACAGGGTGGTGGCCATGGGGATGGTGGGAGAGGGGGAGAACCTTCTAGATTTATTTGTCTGAATGATGGAATTCAGGTTCCCCGGATGACACATCCATAGTATTTTCTAGTCTATGTGATGGTCACAACACAAACAGGTGTGTGACTGCTCAGAATCAGGTGCTCCTCCAAAGGAGCCACAATTGTCCCTTAATTTTTCAGCAGTTTTTTTTCCTTGTTGTTATTACTGCTCTTTTATGATAGCTAATAAGTCTGAAGTGGCTTCAGGCAGCCAAGCCCAACCCCTGAGTCACTTTGGCATTTTCAATAGGAAACTGGACTGAAGTTCTGACAGATGGGTTTGCGTGAATTAGGATTTCTGATGTACACTAAAGGGGAACATGACTGTGAACATACAGGATGTTTATGCCTCGTGTTCTCATTTAGGGGAGAAACTATGGACGCTGTACTTAAAAGGATCCCAACTTTCAAATTAAAAGTATGAGATCCTAAGGGGCAGCTCCTTCTCTTTAGAAGAACAAGGATCCATTTTCAAAGTTACAAAGAATTATGCTCCTCCTCCCCAATACACTTACTATAATATATCCAGTCCACTTACTAGCTCTGTGTCTTTGGGTAAGTTGCTTAACCTCTTTGTGCCTCTTCATCTGTACAATGGGGATAATATTTGTGCCTAGGTTTGGAGTTACGGTGAGGAATTGAGATACTTTATGTAAAGCCTAGCTCATTGCCTAGCACATTGCAAATGCGCAATAAATATTAACTAGCTCCTTGGAAACCCAATGGGGCAGTTCTACTCTGTCCTATAGGGTGGCCAGGAGTTGGAATTCACTCGAAGTCAATGAGTTTGGTTTTTTTTTTATCATTACTGTTATACTTTTTGTTGTTGTTTCATAATCATACAGTCTGGGAGATTCCAAATTGGTGGCTGTTAATCTTTTTTTTGGCTTGAGCATCTTGGTCTATTCCTGGGAGGGACCTTTGAATCTCAAAATGGTCAAATCCATTGTTCTAGTTCATCCCAACCCCTCCCTGGCTCCAATCTCCATCTCTTCCCTCCCTCCATCCTTCCCGCATTCCTGCGCAGTTGGTCTTATTTATTTTTCAGTCAACTGAGGGTGTTGTTGAATCTTTTCTTTTCCTGGCTGCCCAATTTGGTTCCGAGGTGCTCCACTCCCTGCCCTGCTCATGACAAGAATGCTTGGGAATGCTCAGCCAGCCATATCCCTTCTCTGTCGGAACACCCTGTTCTTAACACTCCTGGAGAAGCTACGTTTCTGTGACCTTTCCCTCGTCTCCTGACTTCCCTGTTAAGCCAGTGGTCCAAAGGTTAAGGAGAGATATAAAGAGGTTTCATATGATGTATGTGTTGAAGGCTGGGTGATGATGGCATTACTTAATTACTGTTGTTGTGATCTCCCTTTGAGTGATCTGTTTAGCTCTTTGTGGCCCTTTTGGGCCTGAGCTCAGCATGTGATATTTACAAACTAATGAGAAACGAGAGCATGATGATGGTTGGATTAATGAGAAATCATACCTTGAACATCTCAGGCCCTTTTTGACGTGGGACCTGGACTTCAGATCACTTGGCAAGGCATGAGTTAGTCTACACAGCCTGTCTTTGAGGTAGGTATAGCTAGCCTTATTTCCCCTACGGGAAAGGTATGGTTCAGAGACTCGGTGTTTTCGAATTATGCTCTTGGGCTAGGGCTGACAGTAGGAAGTCAGTGGGAGAGGCTAGACTGAGATTCAGGCTTGCTGAGTCTTCACTTTAAAAGGTAACCCATAGACCACACCTACTCCCTCAACTCTATTGACTTTCGGAAGTCAACCATTTGGAGGAGTGTGGTTTGGGGTTTGATCGTATCCCAGCAGCCTTTTCTCTGCCCTTGTTAATCTGATTCATGATCTGACCTAGGGCTGGCTGGAGGCCAGCCATGTCACCCTACAGATCTTGGACACCCCTCAGTGGCCTCACAGAACCAGCCAATGGAAAAGTACAGTGTCTTCTGCTTCCTGGCCCTGCCAGCTCCGACTGGCCTGATTCAATACCTCACTTAATTCTGAAGGAGTGGGAGGGTCGCATCCAAACTGAAAGTGCAGGTTTTTCTTTGGTTTTTTTAGGAAAAACAAATTGGCATGAATGCTCAGTCAAACCAGCTCAGGCTGTTTGGGCAGATGCCTTTCTTTGCTTTTTTCTGTTTATTTTCCAACAAATCAGTGCTTAACTGCATTGTTGTTATCGGAGCAGAGCAACAGGTGCAAAAAAATAACTCTGCTGCCAACTCAAATGAAAAGGTAGGGCTTATACCCTCTGGGAGGTATTCAGAAGATAACAGAAGCCCCTGCCAGCAACTGAATCAACAGCTCTGTTTACGGTGGGTTTTATGTTAACAACCTGCTCCTAACCCTCTGACACATAAACACACCATTGTCTCCGAGAGAGACATTCAGCCATCCAGACAACCAACTGCTTTATTCTGCCCTGAGTGGAGATCGGTTTTGGCTGAGGTTACTTGGTGAAACTCAGGGACATTATTCTGTCTGCCAATTCGATGTCATAGTAAAGGGTTTTTCTGTGAAGGCAAGGGCATGAGGTTGCCAGAGAGAAGAGGATCAGTCCTGCTTTTAAACTTAGTTGAAATTTTTTTCAAGATTGGTTATTCTAAAATGCCAGAGCAGGTCGCCTGGCTTTCTCTCCTCTTGCTCCATTCCATTCCCAACAGGAGGCAGGGAATGAGCTCAGATGACTTTGGAAAGAGCTACCATTGTTTTGGAAGCCGTGTCCTTGCTGAATAGTCCATGAGGGCAGGGCAGCGTCTATGTTTTGCTCACTATTGTGTCCCTAGGACATAGCTTAGTACCCAGTGTCTAGTAGACGTTTGGTAAACACATACTAATTAAGGGGATGAATAAATATTTGTAACAGTATTTCTGGGAGATAATTTCTCTCCTCTGAAGGCTAACATACCACTTTTCTTGGGTATGAAACCTAAAATCCAGGGTTGAGTAATCTTTTGAAAGACTAAGGGTGACTTAGCCAGTCATGAAATTCTTTAAATGGAAGTGACCATCTTAGAGACCCTTTGCAAATGCTGTGTTCAGAGGCTTTGCTTGTTTGGCCTTCAGAGACTTACACTGTTCAAGTTAACAATTTGGTGGTACTGAGCATTAGGGACTGCTGTATTTCAAGTTGGTGAATACTGTGGTAATAGATTTTCTACTGATGGAGCTTGAATTCTCTGGATTGAATGTTTTGTCTCAGACTTTATGAGGATTTCCTTGGGTTTAGTGGATGTTTCCCTCAAAGCTGGTATCTCTTGGAGTTAGTCATCTTGTGGTGGGAAATTGAGGGGAGGCAAGTACGTGAGTCTGTAGGCTAGGAATTCTCAATTGTGAGGGTGTGTAAAGATTCATCAGGGAGGTTCTTAGATGTGCAGATTTTGATTCAGAGGTCTGAAGGAGGACCCTGGGATCCTTCAGATTTAACCCTTCCTCAGGTGATGACGATACAGGTGGTCTATAGATCAAACTTTCAGAAAAATTTGCGTGGCCTCTTCAGCCAAGTAGGAAAATAAGCATCCTAAGAGTAATCCTGGGCATTCTAGCATACCTGTGTCTTTACAAGGACAGAAGGTTATCATAAGAAGTAAGGCCTGTTTTTTTTTTTTTTTTTCTACACCTTCCTTACTCTATGATTCCTTATGATCATGTGGTTTTAGAATAGGGAAAGGGGCATGGTGGGCATGACAGAATCTGAGGTTGAGGGGTGGCAGGGAAAATGGTGAATGCTTTACTGAATGGTCCTGCCAGGATATAGCAAGATTCCTACTTCACTGCTGACAGAGAGGGACAGTGGGGCCCTACCTGGTCTCATTGTGGGACACAAAGTGACACCCATGCCAGGTAAGAGAGCAAGAATGGAATCTTTCAGGCCTTCTCGCCTTGGTTGGAGTAAACTTACATCTCCCAAACCTGACTTCACTACTAAGTTCCCTTTAAATTACAATCCAGGGTGAGTGCAAGAGAGAGTTTTTAAAGAACTTGTAGGTCAGGGATCCCTAATTTGTTGTCCATGAACCTTCTAGGGGACAATGGATGGTCTTTAGAGGGCTTTGTTATTAGTTGATTTTGACTCACAGTGACCCCATATGAAAGAGTACAACTGTCCCATAGGGTTTTCTAGGCTATAATCTTTATAGGAGCAGATAGCCGGGTCTTTCTCCCTCGGAGCTGCTATGTGGATTCGAACCGCCAGTCTTTCAGTTAGTAGCCAGACACTTAGCTGTTATGCCACCGGACCCACAAAACATAGGCAAAACCATGCATAGATGTACATTTTTGGTAAAAGGAGAGAGCCCCAGCATCTACTGAGGTTTCAAATGGCTCTGTGACCTTCAAGATTCAAAGCTTACCCTATGGGTCTTAGTTTGTCATATCTGAATGGGATTGATAAAGGCCCGGTGTTATCTAAGGTAATCTTGTCTTTTGATCAACTTTGGTGCCTGTTGCTGTCAGTATCTGCCGACTTGTCTGGGTCTGGCACCAGGGATGATAAAGATCAGCATAATATGTATATTTCCAAATGGGTCACTTTCCATAAAGTATACCAGTCTTGGCTTCCCAGTACTGCACCATCGGTCACGAAAACACTTGAAAGCCCAGGAATAATGCTTCAGAGGCTGCCCCTGGGAACGTGAAATGTCTGTGTATGAAGGTTTGCAATGACCTGTGATATAATCCCAAGAAGATCAAATACA